GTGACCTCCTCTCTCCTTCCCCAATCCAAAAGGGGCGGAGCCTTTCTCTCAGCCCCTCCCTGCTACTTCCTGTGTTTATGTTCTGAGTCCTCTAAAACCTCTATGGCTGATTTTGGTCAGTTAGTAGCTAGCTCCACCCTTTGCTTCAAAGTAAACTTTATTGGCAGCCTCAGGAGTGTCAGAGTGCAATCAAAATATCCCCAAAGCAGTTTTCCAAGCCCAGAAAGCCAGAGCCTAGATTAAAGGACACCCAAGTATGTGCCAGCATCTGCCAAAAAGAGGCCATTTGTCCCCAGGTCTCCAAGTCACCTGTGGTGCACCAGGGCAACCCCAGAAAGACACTTGCTTTGTCCTTTGATAGGAGAAGGGAAGAATTGGTCATCTAGCATGGTGTTTGGGTCTGAATTGGTGGCTTTTCCCATCGTTGTGACCAAACACCCGGGAGGAAACATCTACCAGAGGAAGGGAACCAGGCTATCAATCTCAAGGCCCATTCCCAGTGACTCACTTCCTCTAGCTAGCCCCAACCTCCTAAAGATTCCACAATCTCCCCAAAACATCGCCATCAAGTGGAGACTACACATCCAAACACACAAGCTTGTGAGGGACATTCCACACTGAAGCCACAGCAGGGTCTCGGTAGCGCCTTTTCCCAATACCTAACGGGCCAAGCCATCAAAACATGTAGAAATCTCACAGCGATCCCAGGACTAAGCCTCCCCTCCTGTAAGCGTTTCGTCGGGATGGGTCAGGACAGGATGGAACAGGAGTGAGTGGGTCAGGTATTCTGGCACTCGGGAGTCACAGAATACCCAGTGTTACACAGCTCAGGTGGAAAGGTATCCTGGAGCTCGGGAGCCAAGGATACTGAGTGTTACACAGCTCAGGTAGAAAGGTATCCTGGAGCTCGGGAGCCAAGGACCACCACGGGTTGCAGTAAGCTTGGCAGCTTACAGCCTTGCCTCAGAGAAAGGCTTCTCCGGTGTGTCAGCTCCGCTCCGGCAGGACAGGGTCTTCCAGCTGGGGATGTTCGCCTAGTGTAGCAGTTTTGCTCCGCAGGAGGTTTCTCGGGCGAAGTTGCTACAGTTCAGCTCTGCTCCTGGAGAGCCGAGAGCGGAGAGCAGGGAGCCGGGCGGGAGCAGAGTGTAACAACTCCGCTCTGCCAAGGAAGGTTTCCCGGGCAAGTGTTACAGCGCTGCTCGCTCTGCTCTGCTCTGCTCTGCCCAGGGTCGCCTCTGCTCGCTCTGCTCTGCTCTGCCCAGGGTCGCCTTTGCTCTGTCGCAGCCGCAAAAGAAGATCTTCACCCGAAGCTCATCCAAAGGTGTTTATTGGAAGACAGCTGGACCAGCCAAGCTGAACATACACAGGGTTTATATAGGGGTTCCTGGGGTTGGGGAAGTTTTTCCAGGGTAGGGATTGGTCCGATTTCAGTGCTGAGCTCAGATTGGCTAGAGCTCTGCTCCGGGATTGGTTACTTTTTTACACAGGATTAGGGTCAGATTTGGCTCTGGTTTCAGGGCCAAAGTGTGTTTCTTTCTCTGGTCCTTTTTAGCCTTTTGGCTCCAATTTTAGGGCCAGGGTACATTTCTTTCACTGACTCTGATTCCAGGGACAAAGTGTGTTCCTTTGGCACTGGTTTTAGGGTCAGGGTACATTTCTTTGGTTCTGGTTGCAGGGCCAAAGTGTGTTTCTTTGGCTCTGCTCAGGGTGTGTTTCTTTGACTGGTCCCTTTTCCCTACACCTCCCCTACCCCTTGAGTATAAGATATAGGGTATAGGACTGACTGTCAGTATGTCTGCAGATCCACCCACCCGAGGCCGACCAGTGGCCACCAAGGAACCAGTAGACAGTGCAGCAGTCTCCATCGGTTCAGGAAAAGCATGGATTCCTGGAAACGTGGAAACCAGAGGGTAGACAGAGGAGCAAGGGGGCCAGTGAGGGCAGCATCCAGATGAGCTGAGAACAGGAGGGAAAGAAATAAGTTAGAGGAGGGAGGAGAGGAGAAAGATGGAGATGGAGGAGGGGCATAGAGCTGTAAGAAGATGAAGGTGTAAGGGGTGAGGAAGAGGAGGAGGAAGAAAGAAGAAGAGAAGAGCAGGGGAACGGTGAAGAAGGACATCCCAGCACTCAGGAGGCAGAGGCAGGCGGATCGCTGTGAGTTCGAGACCAGCCTGGTCTACCAAGCGAGTTCCAGGACAGCCTCCAAAGCCACAGGGAAACCCTGTCTCGAAAAACCAAAAAAAAAAAAAAAAAAAAAAAAAGAAGGACACCATCGCTAATGTCAAAACACGTGCGGAAGAGCCTGGCCGTGTGTAGCTGCTCTTTTACGCTTGAGCAGGACGCTGTGGACTGTGGAGGAGGTTATGTTCCCAGACGGTCCTAGTAATACCGTGGCGCAGCTTCACCAGTTTTCCCATCAAGGACCCCCCCTGCGAGAATAAATAGAGCCAGTTAGAACCCCTGCTGGCCTCGGCAATGATGGGAGGAAAGAGCTCAGGGCCCCTTGCAGCTCTCCCCAGAAGCTTTGAAATTAATGGAGATCTCATGGCCTTCTCTCCTTTCTCTCTCATAATGGCGGTATCATTCTAAGTATCAAATACTGATTTTTTTCCCTGCTTTTCACAGTTTCAGGCTAGAAGATGTGGCAGTCTTGATAGCACACAAGCCTGTGGCATTCAGGCGAGCCAAGGATTGACCGTGTTTGCCTTGGAACACACACACACACACACACACACACACACACACACACACACACACACGAGTCCACGCTGCGGCCCACCTGCCCTCAAGGGACCACGTCAGAGGGGCTGTCTGAGTCTCAGTGTCCTCCAAGGCCACCTGTGTTCATTGCCCTTGGGCTGCCTGACTCTCCCTCATCCCATCTTTCTGGTCACCTCCATTGTGAGCCACTGGGCCCTGTGTGACCGGAGAGGGAGAGGGAGGCTGCCACCACTCACACGGGCATGTGGTTTGGTTCACCATAGGAGTTTCTGGGGCTGCAAAGGTGCTCCTGGGTTAAGAGCATTTGCTGGTTGCTTTTTCAGGGGATCTGGGTTCAATTCCCAGCACCCACATGCGGCTGGCTCATAACCTTCTGCACTTTTCTCATCCTAGGGGGGTCTAATGCCCTCTTCTGGTCTCCTTGGGTACAAGACACCACTGCAGTGCACAAATACACCTGCAGACAAAGTATTCATGAACACATAAACAGTTTTCAAATAGAATACATTTAGTAGTCAGCAAACAGGTACAAGCATAGCTGACCTTAATGTTATTCATGGTGTTGTTCTTTTGTTAAAGATTAAAACTAGAAGGGGCGAGATGGAACCCGGACCGGAGAGTGCATTAACCATAGTTTATTATAGGACGGGAGAGCGAGAGGGGGAGAAGAGATGGGGACGAAGGGAGAGAGAGAGAGAGAGAGAGAGAGAGAGAGAGAGAGAGAGAGAGGGAGGGAGGGAGGGAGGGAGGGAGGGAGGGAGGGAGGGAGGGAGGGAGGGAGGGAGGGAGGGAGGGAGTGGAGAGTGAGAGAGCGGAAGTGGGCGGGGTCTGTCCTTTACACCTGCGTGCAGACCAGCTCTCATGGAACCCTGGGCTGACCAGAGTCCTGCCTGAGTGCATTCTGCCCGGTGACAGGGGCAGGCCAGCGTAATGCCTGAACCTTTCACAGGGAGACAGGGCGTTAATAGAACAGAATGAGTTCACGCATCCACCAGAAATGACCCAGCTGAAACCTTAGGAAGCCATGCATGAGGAAGATTACGGGGCAACCGCAAACTTCCCATCCTGCTATGTGACTGGCTACAGGCACTCTAGAAGTTGGCTCAAGTCGAGGACCCCGGGAACCCTGCCACCCAGCAGGAATTCACCCCAAGCACACAGGACCCGCTCACTACTCCTCACAGTAGCCCTGGCCAGATGGTCACAGGTACAAACCATCCCCATGCCCTTCAACAGCAACAGAGACAAGTCTGTACACCCATACAGTGGAAATACAGCATGAATAATAAAATCACATCAAAGGAGGGACGGGAACTATGGCCTGTATTTGGCGAATCCCCTCCCTGGGAGATGTAAACAATGTCTAGTCCTTCCTCATAAAAATCCCAACAACAAAACAAAACAGGAAGCCGCTGAAGTTCAACTTGGGGAACCAATGAGTGTACTGCCCTTGTAAGGACTCGGGCATGCGGCTGTCGCCTGGCAGAATGCACTCAGGCAGTAACCTGGTCAGCCCAGAGTTCCTTGACTACTGGTCTGCACACAGGTGCAAAGGACCCCTTTAAAAGACAGACACCACCGCCCGCTCTACCACTCTCTTTCCGGCTCTTCTCTCTCTCTCTCTCCGCTCTCCTTTCTTTATGCTCTTTTCCAGTTCTCTTCCTGGTCTCTCTTTCCCGCTTTCCCCCCTGGGGCAGACAGGACTGTTCCAGTCTCTCTCTTCTCTTCTGTCCTCTCTCTCTGTCTCTGTGTCTCTTTTCTCTGTCCTTCCTCCTCCATCCCCTTTCTAATAAAGCTTCTCACTTAAGCTCGGTCTGCCTGGCGTGTTTGTCCCTCCGCCTCGGTCACCTTCGTCTGTCCTGGAAACCGCCTTGGTCCTCCACCCATCCAGGTGTCCCCTGGAGCTTTATTCTAACAGAGCTTACTTACAGTGGGGTGACTGATAGGAGTGTGGGCGAACTCAGAGCAGCCTCGCCGGATCATCTCCATCCATTGATGGAGGACGGCTTGCTCATGGCCGAGTTGATGGAGCCTCCTTTCATTTAGTTTTCTTCTGGGACTCTGAGACTTCCTGCAATAGGGACAAAAATCACACACAGAAGTTTCCAAGAGGCTGCTGGAATCTCAGGTGAGAATCTCTAATGGCCGTCCCCATCCCCTCCTATGTGTGAACTCCATGACACAACAGTCAACCATGGTGATGGCCCCTTGCAAGCCATCACAGCTGGCCTGATGACAATGACGGTGGTCCTAGCTCTGTCACAGCCTGACAACCTGGTTTCATCCAGCATGCTTGGAAAGGCTTCTAGAAGGCCACGTTGGTGGGGGCAGGGTGCCTTCAAAGCACCTGATCTCTGACCTTTAAAAGACAAACGACAAGGGCGACAAAGCGGCTTGCCAACCTCTGAAGGAGAACCCGAGGCACACTTAGGGGGATTTCACAGTCGTCTGTGGAAGGTACCCTACGTGGATACATCCTATTTCTGTTCATTTCTATAAAGGTCAAACTTCATATGTCAAATTAAGACTTAATCTTCAGCACAAATTAAAGCAAGTGATTTGGGCAGGCTTTGAGTTGTTCATCAAAACGGCCTGAGGAAGTTCTAGTTTGCACTCATTCCTGGGCCCACCCCATGCTACCCCACTCCCACACCCTCCATCCCCACGCCCCCCCACCCCGCCTGCTGAGTGGTTCTGAAGCCCCCTGGGTGCTAAGAAAACCTCAGGCTATTTAAACTTTGGATGCCACCTGTGGTTTCCCTGGTAACACTAGAAAAGTAAACATGAGCTTTGCTGTTTCCAGGGAATTAAAATTTCCATATGAAAAGGTGACGGAAAAGGCAACTGTATCAGGGCTCTCTGTTCTCAATTCCTTGTCGAGACCCGACCTCCGGGATACCCAAAAGGGGGGGAGGGATTATCATCTCTTAAAGAGGTGACATAGTTTTCCTTTCCAGAAGCCACCTCACAGGGCACATGCTTGCAGGCCCTTCCACGGGACAGCACTGTGGAGCCTCCTAGTAGGCAGCCTGCCTGCTTTTCTGAATTAGGACTCAGATTGGTGGCTTCCTGCTCTCCACATGGTCCACCCAAGGTCCCTAAGGGGACCAGGGGCTCACCTGGAGCAGTAGCAGTATTCCAAGTTACCGAGAGGTGTGGTGTTTACGCACATAGAGCTGTGCGCCCATGTTTCCACCCATTCTTTCCTTTATTTTCCTTGAATTGTATGTGAACGTTGATTTAAATGGGCATGTGTGGGGCTGGTGTGTTTTCAGTAGCCGAAATGGTCGAGCAAGGGTTGTTTTAATTAGTTACAGCTGGATTGTTCATAGGAACGGACTTCAGGGTACTTGTCTTGCACAGACGGGTCTACTCTTGTCCTCTTTGGAGAAAACAAATCCCAGGCTAGTAGATGCTTGGAGGTGCCCAGTACATGAGTGAGGCAGGTAAAGTGTGTCCCTCTGACCCCCAGTTTATGTGCTCTCTGGAGGCTCTCCAGGTCTCCAGGATGGATGAGCCTGCTGACCCCACCCACTAGGACTTAGAGATCAGTTTGTTTGCCTTGGTCTGGCCTCGTTAGAGCTCAAAGACCTGTATGAGTCCCGTGGGGCAAGCAAGATGCTGCTGAGGAGTGGGTACCCATGCCACCCAGAGTTGCTGGGCATGCAGGAAGACCATGAGTGGCACCCTGGGCATCTGCCATTGATTGGTGATGTCTGAAGAGAAGTGTATGAGGGCCTCTGGTCTGCACACTTCCAACTAGGAGGACTGATTCTCATCGCTGGCTGCAGGAAGCCCTTTTAAAGATGATTTATTTATTTTTACGTGAGTGTTTTGCTTATGCATAGATAAGTGCACCGTGCAAGTGCCTGCAGAGGCCAGAGAACAGTCAGGTGCCTCGGAACGTCCCTTAACCCGGGCAGACTGGGACAGTTGCCCAGAGAATGCCAGGTGGGCACCTTGTTCCTTTTGGGGGGACTTTTGTGTTGAAATTGTAGGGGGATGGGGTGTGGGGGGGGTGATTGTCAAGACACTGATGGCTGAACCACCTCTCACCCGAGGCTCTGGGAGCTTCCTAGGGGTCCACAGTTCAGGAGTCTATTCCCTCCCGCTTATGGAGGACAGTGCCTCAGATCAGGATGCCTTCAGGGCTCCTGAACTGGGCAGAACCCGCTGCTCCTTCCCTCGCCCTGCACTAGCCAGCAATCCCTGCAATCTCCGGCTCACAGCCCCCGCGCTTGGTCACCCTGAGTTCCTGTATGTGCCTGTGTCCCTTCTAATCCCAGAGACACCCACATGTTGAATTTGGGGTCCACTACGATCCGTTCTGATGTCATCTCCCTTACATCCTCAAGGTTTTGCTTCCAGGTAAGGTCACACTCCCAGGTGTGGGGTCACTTCCAAGGGGACACCAGTCCACCCAGGGCGTCCCCAAAGCGGCTCTAAGGCTCTCTGCTCCCAGCTGCTGCTCATCTCAGGGGACCTAACTTTGTCTTAAAAGTGCATGGGTCATCCACACACAGAGATTACAAGTTCTTGCTTCTTTCATGCCTTGGGGATGATGGCATCTAGGGATAGCGGGACGGGCTCTTTTCCTCTGTGGATTCAGAGCGAAAGCAAGATCTCCGACAGAAGTTAATGAAACCGGAGTGCACACGCGCTCACACGGAGACCACAAGAGTCCTCCCGTGGGAAGGGTAGACCGAGAGGTGGCGTCCAGTCGGTTAATCGTTTGGGGGCATTCCCTGCATTCTCTTTCTCCCCGGAAAAGAGCTGCTTCGAGCTGTCGCAGAGGATTGGATGAGCCAGACAAAGACAGGGAAGCTGATTGGCTCTCGACCGGGAGCTTCTGGTGGGAGATTTGAAAGGCACCAGAACAGTTCCCTTTGTGCCGGAAAAACAGCCCCACTAAGCCTTTGTCTTGATGTGGGTGTCGGGGGCAGGGGACCAGAAAGCCGATCATCTCAGATGTTTAAGCATACTGTACACTGATGTGCCTACAGCCTTTCCCCTGTCGGTCTGCCGGCCAGGGAAATGTCAGGCTCCCTTTCCCTCCTCCCCTCCCCCTCAGGCATTGTGTGTAGGTGGAATCAGGGCCTGGCTTGCAAGAAGGCTCCTCAGACCTTCCCTCCCCAGCCCTGAAATTATGCATTTTTACATTTCCTTTTGTATTTTTAAATTCTAGTAAATTGTACCACATTGCCATCTTAACCACTCCAGTAGAATTGTGCACACTTCTCCTTTCTTTCTTTCGGATATATTTATCTTATTTTATATGGGTGAGTATTTTCCCGGCATGTATTTCTGTGCACCATGTCCATGCCTGGTGTCCTCAAAGGTCAGAAGAGGATATGGTATCTCCTGCAACTAGGGTTACTATTGATCTGAAGATTCAGGGAGAGAGACCACTGACCCAAATCATGGCCAACTTAACTGAAGTGAGTAATTAATTGAGGCAAGTCTTTTAATACACGTACATGGCTTGTCGTGTCTCCCTAAATGTGGGGTTCAAGATCTGCACTGGACATGGGAAAGATAAAGGTTTTAATAGTTCAAGAGTAGGGGGTTTCGGGGGGGGGGGCTTGGCAGGCAAATAGGCGGGGTTACAGAAGTCAGGCAGAGGCATCACAAGGTGGTCATGACAACCTCCTGAACAAAGACATAGTTACAAGATGCTTGTCACAAGGTGGTCAGTGGTCATAACAAGGTGGTCAGTGGTCATAACAAGGTGGTCAGTGGTCATAACAAGGTGGTCAGTGGCCATATTAACTTTTTGAAACAAAGCCATAACTGCCATTCCTGGAGCAGGCCAGTACAGAACCATCTGTAGTTAAGGTTACAGGTGGGGCATAGCCCAATCCTTGAGAAACAGATTTAATCATAAACAGGAATGAACCTGGTTTGTCTTTACTATAAGATGACTTCCAAGCCCAAGGTGGAGGCAGGCTGGTTTATCATTACAGATGTGTGGGCGCTTGGAACTGGACCCAAGTCTCCTGCAACATCTTCTGTTCTTGAAAAATGATTTTTTTTAAGGAAAAAGTTCTAGAAAATGGTTGGTGTGAGATCTAGAGATGGCTCAGTGGTTAAGAGTGCTTTCTGCTCTCAAAGAGAGGCAACCTGGGCTTAGGTCCTAACATCTACACAGCCATCCGTAACTCCAGTTCCAGGCCGTCTGATACCTTTTCATGGCCTCTAGGGTTACCAAGTACTATTGTGGTTTACTTATGTACATATGCAAAACATTCACGTATACAAAAAATAAATACATCAATCCTTAAAATACATCAATCCTTAAAATAAAACCTGTTCTAGAACTTTATCATTTGGCGACTGAATTCTGTGCTGATCATGACACACTTACCCCCTCCCCAGGGGCTCCCATCAGAACTGTCTGTCTCTATGATTTCACTTAGGGAACTCTGCTCACGGGTGACAGCCATGTTTCCATGAGCACGGAGCTCTTGAGGTTACATCTGATAAAGTATACATGTGTTTTCTTCACATGTTAGTACCTAATGGGAAGGTTACCTGGGTCCAGTGGCCTCTGTCACCTAGAACACAGAATCATTGCAATGTAGGAAAACAGTGCCCTGAAGGTACATACCCAGAGCCCAGCACAAGCCTCTTCTCCAGGCATAGACACCAGCCCTGCAGGACCATTGGGTTTTTTTGTGGTTGTTGTTATTGTTGTTTCTTCATTTTTCATTGTCCAGCTCAGGCAGCCTCCGAGGACTTGTCAGGAACCCCGGAAGCCATCTTGAAATGTACAGGGTGTGGACAGACACCCAACAGTGGTTATTTGATTCAACCTATGGAGGGCCCTGAACGTGTCTCCCGAGGAACCTCCAACATGCCCCCTCCCACACCAAACAAAGAGCAAGGTTTATTGCCTCTCATTTGATGGAGGTCATCATGGCCCAGAAAGGTTAATTAATTTCAGGAGGGTCACTGCACAGGGCTGAGATGAATCATCCCTCCTACAGCTAGGATGGGGTGTTGGAGGCCATATTCAGGTGTGGTAGATCACCCCCTCCCCCAGCTTGTCAACTGGTCCTAGCAGGGTGGGGGCTGTGCAGAGGGTTGGGGCACGGGAAGGGCTGCTGGTAGCGTCAGGGGGTCTTAACTTTAGAATCTCGATCACTGTTTTCCAGATTTGCATCGATGGATGCCCTCCGTCTATCCTGGAAGAGAAACTCCCTTAAGGTCCAAGGGGCCTGCGTTTGAGAAACAGACTACGGCGGGAGACTTTTCCAAATTTCAAGGTCATGCTTGCTTCCTACCAGAGAGCCGTGGAGAAGGTTGTTGGGGATGCTCTGATGGTGTCAAGAAACACCTTTGTCATCCATTACTGGAGGACAGGTGCCCTGTCCCTGAGTCCTCTGGATTGACACACTCCCTACCGGGAGACAGAAGGAGGCCATACATGGCTTGCAAAGCTCAGAATGTTGGCACCAGTCCCCTCCCTAAGGTTATAGAAGTCCTGAAGAACTGGGGGAGAGAGGAGACCTGTGGAGCTGCCGGCAGGGTGAGCCTTGGCTACAGGGCTGCATCTTGGAAGGTGGTCATCCGTGCTGGGTGGGCTAGTAATGCTACATGCAGCCCTGGGGAGTAACCCCTATAAGCTCAGTGTCTCACAACACGCTGGATTGTGGGTGGGATCCTTTCTTTGGTCTCGTTCCCAGTGCCGAATGTGGGGGAGGGCGGATGTTTGTTCTCCTCTCTGCAGAAAATGATCTACACAGAAGTAGCAAACGCCCTGTGAGTGATGGGTTTACAGTCCCCCCCTCATAGTTCCCTACACCTTAACTTCAGTATCATTTACCATTTCTTACAAAATCCATTATCAGCTTTGAAAACATTATCACCAGCAACAGATTCACATTATCCACCTCTGAAGGAATGTTTGATTGATATCCAGTTCAGCAAAGAACCGGGGCCCCCTCATTGACAAACAATTATAGCTAAATGTGGGTTGATATTTTCGTTTATGCCAGCCGGCAAGATGAAAGTAAAATAACAAAGACATGTCAAAACTTGGCTCCCTTGCCAGAAAGCGGGAGGAACTCCCTTGCCGAATTGGATAATAGTTTCTGAATCCTGGAAGAATATTTTCCCCTCATTATTCACCCGACAGCAGCTATAGATGTGTATTTAAAGTTAATCTGCATGATTAACACTTTCATTAGTCTAGACAATCAACAAAACAATAGATTGAGGACTGATTTCCATAGTGTAAATATTCCCACTGTGGCTAACTTCACACTATTCCAGAAGAGAGAGTGAGGGCTGACTGCTCTCCCAGGATTCCAGGGAGCCCACAGACAAGCAAGTGAACAGATAATAATGACGCAATTATAGAGCTGAAAGCTGGGGGCCGGGGAGAGGGGTGCTCTTAAGCAATCCTTGGCATTGGTTGGTTTTGCCACTGCATTAACTTTCCCTGGGAAGATATAGACGAATGTCTACCTACCTAAGATAGGGCACTGAGGACAGGACAAAAAAAGGACCTCACCCAGGTCCAGCTTGGGGAACTAATTAATGTTCACTGGCGTTACTCACTTGCCAAGCTGTGTTACCCACAAGCCAGCGCCAGCATAGGCAGCTACGCACAAGCGCTGCCTCCCTGGAGCTCACCGGATCCTGCTTGGTGAACAATCCGTGTATTTGGTTTATTCATGGGAGAGTAGGTAAAGGGTTACTTACCAAGCAAGGGCAACTCCCCAAACAGTCGCATCAAGGTCCCCCCCCCATCATGGGTGACAAGCTCTCGGGAGCTGCATCAGTTTCAACTTCAGGTAGCCTCCTACTTCCTGTTCACCATCACCTCCAGGGTCACTTGCAGCTGGGGGGGGGGCGGGCAGGGCAGTAATTAGCAATGGCCAGAATCCCAGATGAGGGTCCCAGAACCCTCCTCCCAATTCCATCCACAATGGAGTATTAATAGTCTGATGGCCATCACCGTGGACCACAGACGTGTTGCCACTGTGTGGTTCTGCTATGACGCTGCTATTGGCCAAGGTTATCTCTAGTCAACTCGGCGACAGGATGATCAGATTATGCTGGGGGGAAAGCTAACACATTACAGCATCCTAAACTATCCCAGTGCCGTTAGAAACCTAGCTGGAGCTTCAAATGGGATAGAAGTGGCTGATTCTCTAGCCATAGATGAGGGACGATGGCCCAGGAACACAGATCCAGGTTGCCCAAATTCCATGTCCATGCACGGTAATGGTTTCGAGAAGTTTTGCAGTAGCAGAACAAAGAAAGTCGTCAATCAAGACACTTTAGAAAAAGTTACGCTAGTGGAAACATCAAATAGGTAGTTACAGCAAAGTTGGGGGAACTCAGCCTCAGATGCTCGCTGGTGAAATCTGTCTTTTGGTTAGTGGAAGCTCGGAGTCTGTTAAGACATTTCAAATGTTTCGTCTCTCAGTCACAAGGGTGTTAGGTCAGACACAGAGGTGGGATAGCTAGAGATAGCCCCCCAAATAAGTCGTGATTAGATTCAGAACCTGCAACATTCCAACCCCCCAAGCATCACTGCAGTCCTAGTCAAGTTCATCAATGTCCATGGTTTACTTTAAGGTGGAGCTGTCTGGGGGACCCTTATTCACAATACTTAACTATTCCGTTGATGCGATGTTCTCTTTTTGAGGAGAGGGGAATCTTGCTATGTAACCCTGGCTGGCCCGGAATGTAGATCAGACTGGCAGCAACTCACAGAGATCCGCCTGCCTCCTGGGCGCTGGGATTAAAGGTGTGCGCCAACACACTCGGTTGCCCTTTAATGGTTTTCATTTTTTAAAAATTGCTGTGTCTAAGAGAAGCTTATACATTTTTGAAAACTTAATCATTGGCTCTAAGAAACCACTGTGTCACACAAGGGGAGGGAGCCTGGTGTAGTCTGAATTAAGCAGTTTTTCTTTCATTGACTTGAAATGCAGTTGATAGCTCTAACTGTTAAATTATATATCCACTTGTTTTGAAGTCAAAGCCTTTGCTCACTGACGTTGAATGGCAGAACGCACTGGCATAGCACGCCATCCTTAGCTTCCATGTCTAAGACGGTGTAAGCATTGAAAACCATCAAGGTCCCACAATGAGACATCGCTTGAGTAATCTGGAGAATTACTGTGTGCGTGGCTCATGGGGGAACTGCAGCCCCCAGCAATTCCACATCTGGATACACACCCAGAAGCGTGAGAACGCAGAGGCCGGAACAGATGTTGATGTATCTGCACTCAAGGCCGCACAATCCTAACAGCCAAAAACGTGGACACAACCCAAGCGTTGGCGGCGGGTGAAGCAAGCAGAGAGTGGTGTCTGTCTGTGACGAGTGTGTTATGACAGACAAGGGACGGGCATGGTTGTGTCTTCCTGTGTTCTCAGAACTTACTAACAAGTGGCGGTGACTTAAATGGCAGCAATTTGCAGACAATCTCTGTGACTTTGGTGGTCAATCAAGGAAAATAGATTCCTTTTCATTCTTAGTGACTAATATTAACTCTCTGGTCTCATATCACACTGTGAATCTATCTGTCTGTCTGTCTGTCTTCTCTATCATCGCTCTTATCATCTCTCTATCATCTATCTACCCGTCCGTCCGTCCGTCCGTCCGTCCGTCCGTCCATCCATCCATCCATCCATCAGGTTACAGAATGACTGTAGAAGGTTAAAGGTCACAGAAGAGCGGAAGAGAAGGGAGGTTGATAGAAATATAGGCAGAGTCTGTGTTGATAACAAACCTAGCCATAGGTCAGATGCTGGGGAAACTGAGGCAGCTGTCAAGTCCTGCTGCAGAGGTAAAGGGTGGGGCTGGCTTCAGGTAAAGAAATGGGCAGATGGGTTGTCAGAGAGGCCCGGGTGGATGCACAGGAGCATGGTGAGGTGACAGGTGAGTGGGGTCTTTGTCATCACAACGTGATGTGTTCTCTTTGTGGGGTCCAGGGAAGAGACTTACTTACACTCTTTTCCTGGTCTGAAACATCTGTTAATTCTGGGGCTTGATTTCCCTGGCAAGATTTTAATATGTTCATATGCCCCTAGAGTCACAATTCACCCTGATAAGTTTGCAGGGTGGTACCCATTCTGCTGCCAGAAGCCATGTGTCAGGGCAGTGGTGCTTATACATCCACCGAAGTGGTCATTCTCTCACCTCAGGCACAGCCTGAAAATCGCTCTTTTACACACGGTGGGGTGACTTAGAGGAAGACACAGCCTGCTCGCAACAGTGTACAAGGGGATATTTGCCAGCCTTCTAAAGAAGGGGGATTCTCACTTGTGCTACCTCCTGAACGAGCCTTGAAGCCCTCACACTGAAGTCAACCTGTCACAAAAGTACATGGCCATGGACTCAATCAAAGCCATGGAGCCAGCGGAGAATGCTGATTCCACGTCTAGGAACCATCTAATTGGTGCAGAGTTCCAGCCGTGGAAGGTGAGAACATTCTGGAAACAGCCAATGACAACTGCACAAGAGTGTAGACAGACTCAATGCCACTGAATTCTACTTAAACACAGCCCATGCTGTGACATTTACGTTGTGTGTATTTTACCCACAACAAGAAAACAAATTAAATGCAAAGCTTTGTATTTAATAAAAATAAATGGAAGGACAGGTGACCAAGCTGAGAAAAGGAAATCCCCAAACAGCAGAAGAAAAGTAAAGAGTCAGCTTCTGGAAGTGACAAGAAGTGTGGCAAACCTTTAGCAAGATATATAGAAAAAGAGTCAGGGCTAGGAGGTGGCTCAATGAGCTTGCCACACAAGCATGAGGACCTGGGTTCCCCCCTAGCACCCATGTGAAAAAGCCAGGCTTGGCAAAATGTACATGTAATTCCAGTGTTGGGGAGGCAGAGAGAGGAGGATCCCCAGGGTTCAGTGGCCTGGCAGTCTAGCCCCAGGCCCCAACGCGAGATCCTGTCTCAAAAAATACGGTGGAGAGCAACTGAGGAAGAAATCCAACAGCATCTTTTGGACTTTATAGATGCATGCACACACATGCATTCTCAAGTATACACACACACACACACACACACACGCACACATTCTTGAGTGTACACACACATTCTTGAGTGTGCACACACATTCTTGAGTGTACACACACATTCTCGAGTGTACATACACACATTCTCGAATGTATACACACATACATTCTCGAGTATGCACACACACATTCTTGAGTGTACACACATTCTCAAGTGTACACACACATTCTCGAGTGTTCACACACATTCTTAAGTGTGCACACACATTCTCGATTATACACACATACAAACACATACATTCTTGAGTGTGTACACTCAAACACACACACACACACACACTCAGTTATGTGACGGTGCTCAAAGTGAGAAGACACGTCTCACAGGTGCAGCAGACACTGAAGGGATGGATGTCAATGGCCAACACCTCTCTGTCGATAAACAGCTCCAAATCAATGTAAAAGAAAGCAGAACTCAGTAGCTCCATGTCAGCTGAGGCAGCAAATCCACAGGAAAACAAACAAAAACACTTGGTGCTGGAAACTTTCAAGGACTCGGAAAGACAAAGCCCCGTGGTTCTGCTGACCTGAGAGTAAAGAGAACACAACACACAAGTGTGTGATGCTTACCTAGCTCACAGGGTCCCGGGTTTAAGTCACAGTCTCACACACACAAAGACACGCAGGGGGAATTTTGTTTCGTGGTGTGTGAGGGTACAGCCCACCAGAGCGAGAAAGCGAAGGCAGAGCTCAGGGCACGGGAATGTGCCTGGGGGTCCCCAGAACCCAGCAGAGCCAGAAGCAGAGACCAAGAATGCAGGCAAAAGTGGCTTCCTTTTCCTTTTCGGGGCATGTAAATGTGTGCGCACGTGTGTGCGAGGGTGCTGTGTGTGCGCGCATGTGTGTATGTGTATGCATGTATATATGTGTGCATGAGTGTGTGTGTGTGCGCATGTGTGCGGACAAGAGATTGACTTTGGGTGTCTTCCTCAGTCACTCTATCTTATTTTTTGAGAGGGCTTCTCACTGAGCCTGTATTGCTGAGGCTGACTACCACCCAGAGCCAGGAGTCCCGGAATCTCAGAGATTCCAGGCACGCACTGTCACGCCTGGCTTTTTTACTTGGGTTCTGGGTGATCTAACCAGGTCCTCATGCTCATTCAGTCAGGTCTTTACCAACTGAGTCTCTCAGGCCTGTTTCTCCCCCCTTTTATTCAAGACTCCTACTCCAGGGCTTCTCGCCAAACCCATGCGATGGGGGTTTTCCCCGCCTCTGTTAAAACCTCTCTGGAAACATTCTTACAGACATGTCCAGACATGTGCCTCCTAGTGTGCAGCTGGAGAGAGTTCACACTCGTATGGTGGAGTGGCTGGGGAGAGTTCACACCCATAGATGGGGTGGCTGGAGAGAGCTCACACCCATAGATGGGGTGGCTGGAGAGAGCTCACACCCATAGATGGAATGTGCCACTGGAAACCTTGAACTTTTTCTGAGAACCTGACACTTTTTGCCTGTCCACAGGATGTTACGAACAGAAAACTTCCACACCTGACTCCCTGTGACTGGTGCACTAAAAACTGTAGAAATCACTTTCCAGCTTCCTAGAGAAGGTGTGTGAGAGTGGGGGGGGGGTGTGTGAAATGTGTTCAGACTCAGGTCTTACCCCCAGGATGTCTCATTAGGCGGATACAAAGCTTCAAAGATTCTGATCTGAGATACCTCCAAGTCCGAGCGTTTGAATTAGGGACCTGCAAACTTTACCCTGGAGGGCGAACAGAAGGAAGGCAGGAACAGCTCTGCCAGTCGCTTAACAAAAAAAGACAGAGGTGGATCAGCTCCTGAGTGGGGAGGGCTTGCCCAGGGCTCTGGTGCTTTGAATGGAAAATCAAGCTGTGCTGTGTTATGAACTCAGCCCCCAGAGACCTGATTGGTGTGGTCTGACCATCCCTGGCAAAGCCACCTGGGGCCGGGTTCCTTTAGAAAACTTATGTAGAATATACTTCAGGAAGTTGGCATTTAAGCTAAGTAGGGGTCCGTGGGGTAAGGGTCTTAGCTTTATTATTTGGATGGTTGAACAGGCTAGGATTTGGGTTCCTACACACTTGGGATTCAGGAGAGATCAGATCCAGATTGCAAGAGCATATGAGAAGTGGGAGGCAGATGTATCTGTTTCTCTTCTGCGATTATTGTGGCTGCATGGAAGGGAACCTCCTGTGGAGCCTGCTCCGGCTTGGGGAAAACAATGTGATTGATTGGTGATGTCTGCCTGGGCCAGAAGAGGGAGTATGGAGCAGGCTCTGGAGATGTGGTCACTGCGAAGGCACGGGCAAGGCACCACTTGCCGTCCTAAAGTTCATGGAGGGTGCGGGGGCTGTGACAGAGCAAGAACGCAGCTGGAAATGGCCCCTCAACCTGTCAAACTCAGGACAGGGAGAAGAGAGGAAGCAAAGGCTGTATTAACAACAAAGCAAAACCAGGGTTGCCGTACACCTATGGGAGATGTCAATCCAGAAGGGGTGGAGAGTCCCAAGTGGCTTCTGGGAGACGGGGGCCCCCGGGACTGACATGAGAAGTGACGACGGGAGGGTTTCTGGATCTAGGAGTTGAGAGTGCTCAGTCTCTCTTACGCTTTTCTTTCACTTGGTCTGCTGTGACGCAATCCCCATCGCCACGCAGGAGCCACACCTCTGGGCCTGCCTGTGAGGATACTTGAAAAGGTTTTATTTGAACATGCACAACGCCCTTCCATGGCTGGGGTCGCGGACTGAATAAAGAGGAGAAGGAAAGCTGAGCACCAGCGTCCATCTCTCTCTCTGCGTCCGGACTGTGAAGAGATGAGCTCACACTCATCTCTCTCTGCGTCCCGACTGTGACACAATGTGCTCACACTCATCTCTCTGCATCCCGACTGTAACACAATGTGCTCACACTCATCTCTCTGCATCCCGACTGTGACACAATGTGCTCACACTCATCTCTCTCTGCGTCCCGACTGTAACACAATGTGCTCACACTCATCTCTCTCTGTGTCCCGACTGTAACACAATGTGCTCACTCTCATCTCTGCATCCCGACTGTGACGAGATTTGCCTACTGCCTTGGGCTCCTGGTACCTCGACTTCCCCGTCTGGATCAGCCTGTACCCTTAAACTACGAGTCAAAGCAAACAAAGAAACACAGACAAATGAAAAAAAAAAAACATTCTTTTCTTAAATTGCTTTTTTTGTCAGGGATTTTGTTGCAGCTTATGGAACTGACACCTACTAGGAAGCAAAAGAAACCCTCCCGGATTTTTCTAGAGTCCTGGGAACTTATCTTTCACTTCCTAATACGGCTAATTAACAAGAAAATCGATTTTGTGTTTTCAAGCAAAAGATGGCTCAGGCGTGCCCCGGGGCTTTACAAAGAGCAGGGGCCTCTGCTCTGAGAGACCTGGGTTTCAA